TGATTTTGCATTTTTTTTATACATTAAGACACATAATAGGCAAATAATACTATAAAAAAAGCTAAATTACATGCTATAAACGTGTTTTGACATCCTGGAATTTTTGTTTGTTTGTCTACGATATCCAACTTTTTTTTAATCCTATATTTTTTCAGATTTCGAAAAACTTGTTTTTTTTTTTAATTAATCTCCTGTATTATAATCACCCATATCCCGTCACTGTCTGATTCGGGCACATTATGTTACGAAAACACGCTTGTCTATATTTGGTCTGGAGTGACCATGATAGGAAACGAATTAACAATCGAACCAAAAATACGAATGCATTGATAAAGGTAGACAGTGTGCCTGTGTTATTGAGTTTTCCATTTGAGAATATTTCGATTAACATTATTTCAGCAAAGACATGTCTGTGAATTCCGACACATCCACTGTGCTACTAATAATAAAACCCTGAGGTGTACCATTCTTTAGATTTGATCAATGATAAAAATATAATAGACAACAGCGACATTCGAACGTATTTCGATTTTTTTTGCGAAAATTTGAACGTTTCGGGGAAAATCTGAAGACGAATTCATAAACAACAAATGCAGGATTATTTTATTTCATAAAAATTAAATACTTACTATCAAAAATTTTTACAAAATGTCATCACATTGATGATAGGGATGACTAAACAAATTTTGGTTAGCGTTTTACTAAATTTGCCAACAATCGGTAGTTTCAGAGATTATCTGTCTAATAAAGATCGACACAGACAGACGCACATACAAGAAACGTCGAGAAAACAGGAAACTTCCAAGTCGCCCGATGTACTCGGTTACTGCATTTCCTTAATTTATGCGCGGGAAGTAAAAAATAAGTCATAAACCTAGTTAAAGTTTAAAAATTACAAAAAAAAAAATCTATAGCCGAAGCAAACTAACAAGGTTCATGTTTTCTCTTTATTGATGGTCCCCCTGTCTGTCTGTCTGTCGTCTGTCTGTGTCGATTTTTATTAGAGAGATAATGTCCGAAACTTCTGGAGCGTTTACTATATTATTTTATATGTGAATTAAGAATACCGTGTATATGATAAAACGCTAACCAAAATGTGCCTAACCTTCCCCTCCAACAATTTGATTTGATGACGTCCCCTCATCATTTTGAGTACTAAAGGTTATACAAATGTTATATAATAATGTGCTCCTGTACTCGTAGTTTATGAATCCAATTTCCCACTTATGCATCAAATCTCTCATGCTGGATTGAGTTATCTGATGGATTCTCGAAGTAGTGCTCTGCTCCGTGTGGGTTCGAATTCCATCCTTATCGAATGTTTTTTGTTAAACTGTAACTCGTCCTGTCTACATTTTAGGATTATAATGTAAATAGTAAAACACTAACCAAAATTTGGCTAATCATCCCTACCAAAAATTTGAGGACGTAATCTTAAAATTTTCTACACTGAAATGATTTAAATATTATACAGTGATATACTACATCTGTGGTGTATGAATCCACTTTGGGTTTTCCCCTAAATATTCAAATTTTCACAAAAAATCCTAATTTTATGATCATCTTTTAGGTGGTTAAAAGTTCAAATTGGTTTTTTTTAACTGTAACTCTTATTATGTATATGTTTTCATCGGTCAAATCAAAAATGGTTCACTCTATTTTTTTGAACATTTGGGAATACGGTAATGTTGCGCTCACCTAGATTTAATAATAACAAAATAAGAATTGTTTCAGTATATTGTCGCCTAATTAATAATTATTTTAGTCGCTTTCTCTGTTTTGAGTAGAGAATCATTAGTGTTTTTTCGCATATTCTGATCAACCAACTTGGCGTATGTTTAATCGTGGCATCCTTTCAATGTATAAACATAAACAATCGACGTTAAGCTTGTAAGCACTGATAATATATTTTTCCGCTGGTTATTGACACCATCGCATAGCTTTATTTAAAGATATAGGGGTTGTCATAAAAAAAAATTGGTCGAAGGTTATTTCGACAGAACTTCCCTCGCCCCTGAAACACAATAAAACAAATCCAGCTTTATTATTTTTTTATGAGAACCCTTATAAGTTAAAATAAAGATAAAAAACAATTTTCGGGAGGGGAAAAACGAATAAATTTTGTTTAACGATTCACCATGATTACGATAACCTTAAAATATTTACAAGATTTCAGTGCAGTAATATCTTATTTTGTAAAATCCCATTGATGGTGGGGACGATTAGCCAAATTTTAGTTAGTATTTAACCATCTACATGACATTCTTAATATACATACAAAATTTCACAACAATCACTCCAGTAGTTTAGGAGATTACTTGTTTAATAAAAATGGATACAGACACCAGACAGACAGACAGACAGACGGAAACGAGAAATCACTAGGGGTCATGACACGTCGTGAAAATATGAAAGTGGCAATTCGGTCGATGGCCTCGATTACTATACTTCCCTAGTGTACGCTCGGGAAGTAAAAACATAAAATTCGCAAAATTAAATTTCATTATTTTTCGAAGAATCTGTATTTGTTCCACTGTACTTCAGATGCGAAGTAGTTTTTACTTCCCGAGAGTAAGCGAAGGAAACCGATTCTCTACTTTTACGTTTTCTCGACCTTCCATGCCCCTAAAGTACGAATATATAGGTCTCTCGTTTCCGTCTGTCTGTCCGTCTGTCCGTCTGTCTGCCGTCCCAGATTTTTATTAGACAGATAATCTCCGATTGTTGTCAAATTTTGTGTTTACATTATGAATACGATGAAGATGGTAAAACGCTAGGCAAACTTTGTCCAATCATCCCCACCAATAACGTGATGACGTCACTTCAAAATTGTACATAGAAAATCGGTTTTAAATGACATAAAATAACATAGTCCAACACATATAGTTTATGACTCCGTGTTGAGTTTTTACCCGAAACGTCTAGATTTAGTAGATTTTTGGGAAAAAATCAAAATTATAAAACAATATTTTACAATTTAGTTTTGAAAAACCGAATACTTTGAAATCTTGCAGATGTTTTAACGTTATAATCAGCACGATAAATGTTTAATCAAAATATATATTGCTTATCCCCTCCAAAAAAACGTCAGCTCAAAATTTTGCCGTACAAACCCTATCTAAAATGTTCAAAATATGATGAGTCTGTATTTGTGATTTATCATTCCATTCATATTTTTTGGATTTGCTTATACAGGATGACTCAAAAAAATTAATGAGTATGTGAATTTCCTGAAAATTTTGGGAATACAGTACTGTTATTTTTCAATTTCCATTTTACACTAAATAAAATAAGTCAGTGAAATGGAGAAAGGAGTTGGGCGGGGCTAAACTTAGCTTTTTTCTTGTTTCATGAGTAAGCAGTAGCCACGCCTACCCACCTCCTTCGTCGTTCCAGTGACTACTCTTAATATCGTTCAGTCTCTCTTAGCAAGTTTTAGCCCCGCCCATCCACCCTTTTTTTCTTAGAGGATATATCATTTACCGAAGTGAATCTTATCTTAACAAATACTAGCCCGCCCGCCCACCCTCCCTCTATTTTCTTAACGGATGTCTCATTTGCCACAGTCCATCTTATCTTAGCAAGTACTAGTCTAACGATTGTATATTTATTCGATTGAGAAATCTCTGAAATGAAGGCGGGGTGGGTGGGCGCGGTGAATTCTATGTTCTTTTGTGAAGTGGAAATGGAAACTAATACAACGTAAGCTGTTAATAAAAGCGTTAATCGTATTTTTTTTTTGTTATACTACTTATTTGCTATAACATTTGTTTCTTATTTCTGAAGAAGAAAAATGATAGAAGGGGTGGGTGAGAGGGGCTGAGTTTAACTTTTTCCAACAGAATCTTTTATAAGCCCACCCACCTCATTTTCATTCCAGCGATTACTCCCATTCAGTAAAATCAATCTTATTTTAACAATACTAGCTCCGCCCACCCGCTCTTTAAGTTCATATACGTGTCCTTGCAAAAATGTTGAAGATTTTCGACCAATTTTTTACTCGTAGGAGTCAAATAAATAAAATCCTGGAAAATCAAATTTAATAATTGTTCGAAACAACTGGATTTGCATTTTAGGTGGTAATTTTTTTAATAAACATTAATTTCACCCTTTTTGATCGGTAATTGGAAAGTTTCTAACGTAAAATATAAATTTTGTTTGTAACAAAATTTGTATGCTATGTACGTTTCAATGGAATGTACTTACTTACTTAAAAATTAAGACGACGTCATCAATTTTGGGAAGGAAATGAATGTATGATTTTTGGGTGGTGTGTGACTATATTCACGAAAATCTCTACCTACGCAAAATTTTCATTTTCTTTTTGTTGGACTAAAAGTTGAGAAAATGTTGATAATTCTTTCTACACATTTATTAAATTACACGCCAAGATTAGATTCCTGTAAAAAAGTTAATGGTAGAACTTTTTAAGTTTGTCCGTATTAATTTACAACATACAATTTTTTACAACTAGTTGAAACGATAAAAAATTTACTCCCAATTTGCCTCTGTAATATAAGTACTCTTGTGAATACTTAAATGTTCGATCTCGAGTGTTTGTTAAACCTAATATTTGAAATATCTGTAGTGTATAAATCAATATGTCTGGAAGTTTGGTCAACGACAAATATAGAGGGCGATATTTTGTCTACCGATTTTATGAGTTAATAAACAATCCCGGAATTTCATTCCTGTGCATTATCTACGCAAGCACAACTGAAAAAATCCAAGCATAAAATTTCAAGAATATTTTCCATCCACTAAAACCGCTAAAGTCAAGTGGTATTCGCAAAAAATATTTCAGGAAAACACTCCCCTACAGAAACCATAAAAACAAATATCTGAAATGCGTATTTGCTTAAGTGACAAAACACTCGCAGGCAGTTTCATCCTGGAAAATGCACGCTAGTTTTGCCACCCCTATTTCTTAAACATAGAGAAATAGTCGCAAATACTTAATAACGACAGGTCACCCGGGAAATTTCGAGATTTCCTCTTACCAATCGCTGAGACGAGCAGCAGCAGGAACAGCAGACTAACTCGGCATCCATCCTTCATCCCGTGCATGTTCATCATCTGCAACACAAACAGAGAATTTCCACATCAGCGAAAAACCCTCTCTGAGGACCTAGTGCGACAGGGCACCGACTTGGCGCCGTCCTATTAACCCCGTGTTTATTTTTTTCTCCCTTCGCAAATTCCTGTCAATATTGATCGTGACTCGATGTAGACGAGCTTTTGATCTCTCATCTGTTAATGATACGGAGTGTTCGCGTTCCGGTCGAACAAATCGATCATACCTCAACACCCACGGAAAAAGTACAGGTTGCTTGTTTACAACGAACTTGATTAGATCGTCGTATCTGCATTGTTTGAAGGGTACTGAATTCAATCGAAAGTTTTCACGCTGCGGGAAACTTTCACATCGCAATAACATCGATGAGGTGGCTTTTATGGATTTCTTATTAGAGATAACAAAGTGAGAACGCTAGTATGAAAGAGTTTCGGCACAAAAAATATTTACGACCGCTTTCGCATCTAAATAAGGTTTTCTGGTTTTGAGGAGGTTTGCAATTTATGAAAGTTGCGCGATGAGGGCGGCAGAGATTAATCAAAATCTTTAACACTTCTGCAGCTTTGGGGATGGTGGAAGGCTCGGCTTGGGCTCTGGGGGTGGAAAAGGGGAAAATTTGGGGTGGGAAAAATGAAAGCTATAATAAGAAGGTAACAAGAAATTTACACGGTTTAATTCTAGCTACCTTGCAAACCATTCGGAGCTTTCCACAATTTCCACCAAGAATATACACATCTACGTGATTTCCAAATTTAAATCTGTACTTGCTACCAAAGGTGGTATGGAAATTTGCACGTGTCAGATTCGAAAGTAATTTTCTTACACAAAATAAACAACTTTATTCGGCTGCTAATGTTATCTACGTTTACCGAAGATTTCGTATCCCGGATTAAAGAGGTCAAAAGATAATATCGTTAATAAAATCTTCAGAATTGTTTGGCAAAAACCATAAATAAATTTATCCTTACAAAAAAAAGAAAATAAAATGAACATGAACAGCCTTGGGCACAACGACGGCGACACAACTAAACTAAAAAATTCATTCAATTTGTTGGCGTAATAAAATCTGGCAGATGGAAGATTAGGGCATAGACAGACACGGTCACGTTTAATATGTACAATTTCATATTTGATAATAATTTTATAACTCACATTTCAGTTAGAACTCGTTTACTGTTTTTCTCAAGTCACATACAAATACATACTTCTTAACAGTGGTTGTTGAAACATTTTATATATAGTACAAAACAATTTATCGACTTAAATCCAATTAATACGTGACCCGTAACCATAAACATTAAAATTGCAAACTAAAAATAATTTTAGCCTTATTTACCATATCAGTACATGTTCCAAATTCCAAAGGGTGCCCCTCCGCCCAATTGCTCTTAAATATGTTCCATGTTCCATAATTTATGATCCTTTTATCCAGTAAAAATTAACGGCGATATTTACTCAGTTACTCTATTAATATCAGCGCCAACATCTAGGTCAATTAAGCCCGTCAAAAGTATCCTGTTCCCATTCGCAACAATAAAATCGCGAAATTAAATCTGGCTCATATCGCTGCCTTGAATCAAAAATATTAGACCCAAATACTATAAATCCCCGACGCAGAGGAAGCTAATAAAAAAGATTTTCTTTTATTGACGTAATAGATAGACATTGAATGAAGAGACCATTCAGAATTCAACTTTGCTTTGCTTTCAGTCCGTTCGGGGACTGAACAAATTGCGTCATAGAAGCATTAGATGTGCCGTTCACTCTTTAAACCGGCGAAGAAAAATGAGAAAATGCACTCCCTCGCACTAATTCTTTCAAGTAGACCGTCTTGAGATCACGATTACGAACATTTGTCTGCTTATCTTATTCTGCACAGCATTATCTTTGGCTGTTTCTGCGAACTTCAAATGGGGAGATTTATTTCAGTTTGTACACACGTGGCCATATTCAACCTTGCGAATATAAATTGCTTGAGCGTTATTGTTGGTGTTTTTTGTTTTGGTTGATATGCGCAAACAGAAGGTTAGGGGGCAACTTGTTCATTTTAGATAATGTAATTCCATTAGTTTTGTTGAACAACAGTTGCTGAATTATGTCGATTATGTTTACAATTTCAAACTGATTGAGTTAATTCCAACGGTCTGAGTACGTACGTCCCGCGAAACATTCCAAAAATTGTATAGTTATTTATTTAGGAATACATATACAAATGGGACAGTTTCTCCAACAATTGTGGCTAATTCTTGCTGTTTTTCCAAACGGAAACATGCCAATTTTCGACAAACGCCAACACATGGTGTAAATTTGTTTTATCGTTTGTAAATTCACAGTTCATGTCAGGATTTTAATGGTTAACTGGTTCTAACACAATTTAACAGTCAGGAGATGATTGGAAAACTGCAATTATCTGCCCGATTTTTAGACATAGCTGATGTCAGGAACTATAGGCCCATCTCACTGATGTGTAACTTTGGAAAATCATTCCAGAAAATTATGTAAAAATATATCTATGCTAGTAAAAAATGTATATGCGTCCTTCGCAGCATGGCTTCTTTAAGAGGCGTTCCACAATAACAAATCTGACCTGCTTCAGTCAATTTACATGTGAAGCAATTGATGCTAAACAGCAAGTGGCCGCCATTTATCTGATTTTCTAAAGGCGTTTGATCAGATTGATCACTACCTACTTTATAAATAAAATAATTTTGGATTCTCCAGATCTCCAGAGAACAGTATGTCAATTATCGCTGTTACAAGTCCAAGAAAATTTCACTCACGTCTGGTGTTCTTCAGGGTTCGAATTTGGGACCGCTGTTATTCTGGAGTATGATCAATTGTGTGGCATCCATTATTTGAAATCCATATTAAAAATATATTAAATTATCTTTAATAATAATAATAGTAATTATTATTGTTATTTAGATACAGCACTTGCTAGGAGATTTCATGAAATTCACTTAGTCAGGACTCATCATTTGTTTATCAAATTATGAATAAGGTTTCTGGATGCTTATACTTAAGTGTTACATTATAACACTTCTTAATTCCTCACCCAAGATTGCTAATAGTTCATTAACGGCAGTTGATTCAACCTAAGGCTGTCCCACTCTGGAAAAAAGCCCGTGGAAAGTGCGGTAGAACCCATAATATCGTAGAATGAGGTACGGGGGGATTAAAAATTTTTCCCCTTAGGCAGTTATCATCGTTATCATCATCACATCACCCAGACATTTTTCTCGTTGAAAATTATATCACCGAGACGCACATTCCTCGCAACGCTGGATGCTTTTTGTGTTTATTTTATCATGTGTTTTGTTTGGGATAAGCGGGGGACAGTTCGCGATATAAACTCTCAAAGCTAGTTGTTTTAAGTAATCAATCACTTGGATAAAGTGTGGCATGATTTAACAACAGGTAAATTCTTTGCTTGAATCGTTGATAAAGTGTGGCATAATTTAACATAATGTAAGTTCTTTGTTTGAATCGTTGATAAAGTGTGGCACGATTTAACATCAGGTAAATTCATTGTGTGAATCGTTGATAAAGTGTGGCATAATTTAACATAATATAAGTTCTTTGTTTAAATCGTTGATAAAGTGTGGCATTATTTAACAACAGGTAAATTCTTTGCTTGAATCGTTGATAAAGTGTGGCATAATTTAACATAATGTAAATTCTTTGTTTAAGTCGTTTTAAAATGGGGCATGATTTAACATCATGTAAATGCTTGAATCGTTGATAAAGTGTGGCATAATTTAACATAATGTAAGTTCTTTGTTTGAATTGTTGATAAAGTGTGGCATAATTTAACATCAGGTAAATTTTTTGTTCTAGCAGCGGTCATGAACTGTAGAATCTCGTTGAACAAATTAACAATGTGGGTCATACTATTATTTGCACAGCGCCACAGGATTGGGCACATTTCTGGGAGAGATATTTTTGACGCATTTTTTTGAACGACACATTCGTCCGACGCTATTTTGAACCTCCAAATTGCCTGTTATGTTTTTATGTGTTTATTTGGGGGAATGTAAAACGATGGCCCACAATGCAGCTGAACAACTTCACTTTTAAAAATTAACCAATAATTCGAATGGATATAATCTATTAAACTCATATCATTTTCATGCTCTGCAGTTCCTAACCTCACGCAATATTTTTGTCTGTTCAAGTTTTACTTCACACCAGGTCTTTTTTTTTATAAATTTTTGCTAGTTTTTCCTCACGTAAATATTTTGTTGATTAATGTTTCCGTCATATGAATTGTCTGATATCCAATCTTAGTTTCAGATAAAAATTCTTTGCTGTTTAAAAATTTCACGAGAGTGTATGACGGATTTAAATGTTATTTATTACTTTTAACTTTAACACTTGTGTGGTTGTGATTTAATATCAGAGTCATTGAAAGTGGACATTTAAGTGGTGATTGAGATAAATAACACAGAAACACTTGGCAGAAGCGGAGTGCGCGGTTCCTTGTCGAGCTGGACCCTTAATTTAACTTTAAAGTATGACACCAAATGTAAAAAACATCTCCTCCTTTTGTAAAAAACGCTTCCTGCTGAACCGTTGTATTAGTTCCAGAAGTACCACGATCACAAATTTTTGACAGTTATCCTTTGACAGTTATCTATCGATAGTTTTTGAATGTGTGGCCGTACAAAGACGCTTCAACTGACGTACTAATCTTGGTGTTTCAATTAAGCCCTTTAAAATTGATTTTGACTCTAGCTTTGACGAAGCCCTCGTTCATTATGCTATGTCAACCAAACACAATTTTGATACTTACAAACGTGTGTAAGCTTTCCGACTTGGCTGAAATTAAACTGAAGAACTTTTCAGTTTGAGGACTGAACAGCTTATTCTTGGCACTTGTAGTCCTAAGTAAAGTAAAAAAATGCACTAGCTTTAATTCCCCTATGCAGAGTTTCTTAAAAGCACAATTCCAAACATTTGTCCGCTTATCTTATTTTGCAAAGTATTATCTCTGTCCGTGTTT